AAATATCAGTATAAACTTACCTGTATGATCAGTGTCAATAAATATCAGTATAAACTCACCTGTCTGATCAGTGTCAATAAATATCAGTATAATCTCATATGATGTATCAACATTTCAAATGTAGGTCACTGTGTCCTACATTGTATTTATTTCACGATTCACTGACATTAATTAGGTCAGTTTGTGTAAAGCTCAATTGCTCTAATTCTAAATGTTTATATCTTGTCAAACTTCTTAATTTTGTGGATACATCTTAAGGAGTGCTTTACCAATATTCCAAAAGTAGGTCACTGTGAGCTATATCTTCCAATTCATTGACTTTGAATTTTCATTTAGCCTTATTTTCTTCAAACAGGAGGAGGGGAATATGTATAATATTTTGATTTTAAATTAAAAATAAGATAAGTTTTTTTACTGTTTGTTCGATTAATTTTGCTGTTTTGAATTGAAGGGCCAGGCTCGATGCTGGAGGAGATGGTTACGCTAACCAATTCAGTGGTAAGTCTACCATGTTTCCTTTACATTTGTAGGTATTTTCACTCACTTGAGGGAGGGGGTGAGGGGACACAATGTCGCTGTCAGTAATGAATTTGCTGCACTGTAGATGAAATCTGTTCTGGATGCATGTTGTATACAGAATGCACACTAGTAACACATTGACAAAGTCAAAAGGAGTGTCGACAACAAGGCGGGATCTTTCGTTTTTGACAAAATTGTATCAGACAATGTTGACATATGTATCGGCTCACTGGTGAGTTGTCATTAGAAGGTCTTAATTGGTAGGTAGTGTAGGAAATGGTAAAGACAAATGATAAACCAAATCTGCTGATTTTGGTCTTGAAGAGAAATCTTATTTGTTTTTATAATTGTAACATGAATGAGAGTAGTGTGCTTCCACCGAGGATCGAACCCAAACTAATACTAGTTGGATGCTGTGCCACTTAGCTTAAGGGAAATTGCCTATAACACAAAGCTAGAAGGCGACCGTAATTCCATGTACAATTACAATCTGCCACACTACTCCCCCTTTTTTAAATGTGTTGGCCTTCGAACACAACAACCAAGTTTCTAACTCCCTGTCACCACAGGGAGGGTCACAGACACCATTTGTAACAGGAAAGAGAGTAGTGTGTTTCCACAGGGGATCCAACCCGCAACCCCAGACTTCCTAGTCGGACACTAAACCATTGAGCTAAAGGGAAATCCCTCTAGAGTGAAACTAGAAGGTGACTGTAATCCTATGTACAATTAAAATCTGCCCCAACCCCCTTTTTTAAATGTGTTTGCCCTCCAACATTTCAATCCAGTTTCTTACTCGAGCTCCCTGTCATCACAGGGAGGGTCACAGACACCGTTTGTGACAGGAATTGAGAGTAGTGTGCATCGACTGGGGATTGAACCCACAATCCCTAGGTTCCTAGTCGGATGCTCTACCAGTGACCACTGAGCTAAAGGAAAATTCTCTCAAGCGCGAAGCTAGAAGGGGACCGTAATCCTATGTACAATTAATAGCTGCCACATGATGAATACAGCATTTCCCTACAGTATATTTCAGCAAAGAACTGAGTCACGTTTTTTGGCTTCCTAATGTCAATACATTTTTGTGGGTTTATCCAAGACATTTGACCAATGATATACAACGAATATGGGTCTCCTACAAAAACTTAAAAAAAAGAATAGATGTAAAAATGATATAAAAACTATTTTTATGATAGTGAAACCCGAGTGAATTGAAGCTGAGTGTTGCAAATTATTTTTAACTTTGATGAACTTTTGCCATACAATTATAAGTACTTGTACATGTACATGTAATGTAAGTTAGGATATAAGAATGCTAGATTTGGAAAAAAAACAGTAGAAAAAAGTGATAATTGTAACAGTAGCCTTTAAAAAAAGTCCCTAGAACAACTCTCATAGTCCAAAATGACGCTAATGGAAGTCCCTTTGTAATACACAAACAAACAACTTGGGGGAATATCTAAATTTTGACCAACCAGAGGCAGGTTTATTTGTTAATGATACAAAGTGTAATAAGAAACAGAGCAAACACAATAAGTCCCCCAAATTTAGTTTTGGGGACAAAAATGAATGTTTTATACAAGAATAAAATGTTTTTTCAGAATTATTTGTAAACTAACAGTAAATATTTGTTCTTCCTGTGAGAATGTCTTACTAATATGCTGAAATTAATAAATTACATATTTTAGCACATTTGATGTTTCTATTTTACACAGGTGGGGATTCCTTGCTCATGTCCGAGAACATGTGGATAGATTTTGCCAACTATGAGACCTCCAAAGGTATGTCTCATTTATTATCTCCTGCTTTCATCGAAATGGGGGATATTAATTTTGGTCGGTTTGTCCGTCGGTTGGTCCGTCTGTGCCTGCAATAACTACAACAAATGTTAACCGATTTTCTTCAAACTTGGTCTCAGGCTTAAATGCCTTAATGGCTCGGCCAAGTTCGATGACCACTTTCAGCGGACCCCATTTGGCGGAGTGATGGCTCCTTGAACAATGAAAAACATCATTATCTGCCGTGCTTCGTTTCCGTGCAATAACTACAAAAAATGGTTGACCAATTTTCTTCTTGGTCACAGGGTTATATGCCTTCAGGGCTCGACCACATTTGATGATTACTTTCAGCGGACTCCAATTGGCAGAGTTATGGCCCCTTGAATAATTAAAACTGTCATTATCTACAAGCTTCGTTTACGTTCAATAACTACAACAAATGTTAACAGATTTTCTTCAAACTTGGTCAAAGGGTTGAATGCCTAAGGGCTCGGCCAAGTTCGATGATCACTTTCAGCTGACCTCTTTGTGGAGTAATGGCCCCTTGAATAACGAAAAACGTCATTATCTACTGCATTTCGTTTCCTTGCAATTACCACAACAAATGTTAACTGATTTTCTTCAAACTTGGTCACAGGGTTGAATGCTTTATGGGCTTCAGGGGACCCCATTTGGCCGAGTTATGACCCCTTGATTAGCAAAAAAGTCATTATCTGCCGTTTCTGTTCATTAACTCTCGCAAATATTATCCGATTGTCTTCAATCTTAGTAACCAGGTTCAACACATTAAGGGCTCAGCCAAGTTTGACAACCATTTTAATCGGACTTCATTTGGCAGAGTTATGACCCCTTGATTAACGAAAAACATCATTATCTGCAGTTTCCGCTTAATAACTAGCAAATTTTAGCCAAATTCCTTTAAATTTGATAACAATGTTTGTGTTCCTCGGTCTTTCCACCCATCTCGGGCACTCTTTTGTTTTCGTGTGATAATTTCTGTAGATATTGTTCAGATGTTTCAACCAAATTCCGTATCCGACTCATGCTATGTTTGCCATGCAATGTGTGTGCATATTTGCGGATAATCAATGAGGTATAGGGCTTTTTCTGTGTCTTAACAGCACATGTTTTAACCTAACCTCAATAATGTTAACCTACAATATGTCCTGCAAGCAGGGGATATACATTCCAAGGATTTGCTTGTATTCTTCTCATTCTCTTGTGAACAGTTTTGCTGATAATGTAAAAACATGTTTTAATGTATTGCTTGTGTAGCACATAAAGTTACAGTCTGTAAATTGCAATTAATTGTTCTTCCATTCTAGCGCGGAACCTGCAGATTCCTCGTGGACGGGGCATTGATACTGTGTTTCTTCTAGATATCTCTGAGAGCTTGGGCAAGGAAGGTCTGGCTCAAATGAAGGAAGTCGTGCTGGAAATTCTTAAAAGTATGGTCATGTTTTTCATACCTGTACATACAAATATTGTAATTATGTAGTTTCTTCTTAAAATTTGAAATGATTTCGACCATTGATATATTTATCTTACGGACCATTGAAAGACGTACTTTAATGATCTCTAAGCTAATAAGCTAGTATAGGAATATTTGAAGACATGTCTTAATGTTATTTATTTGCATGTTAAACTTTATAAACTGTTGATATTGTTTTTTAAATCATTTTTACAGGTATTCAGGGATGCACGTTTACTCACCAGAGGCAGGAGAATGTCGCTATTGCAACATTTGGACATACAACCACAGTGGACTGTCATTTGACCAATGACTATACTGAGATCAAAGACTCACTGGGTAGGTTTTGCTATTGTAACATCTAAGGAATATGAGGGGAAAATACTGCCTTACTGTCAAGCTAGATTTGAATAAAATCTGGAAGAAAAAAGGGATAAATGTAACGGTGGCCGTTACAAAAGTCCCCAAAACAACCCTCATAGTAAAAAATGATGCTTTTTCAGCAATGTGGTATAACCCGGAAACCTACTAGTTCAGCAACGTCGATAATAGTCAGTAGCTGGATGGGTGACGGGCCGCATGTTACATTTGGTGGCAGCGGTGGGATCTCTGTGTGATCATGTAAGGCCAGTTCCTGGTGATTAGGGAAGGTACATTAGTAAAGAGAGAGGACCTACATCATTCCCCAGGCCAAGCCTCGGTAAGAGACTAAACAGAGGGGGGAATAGTGTAACAGCTAAGGAATATGACAGGGAAATACTGCCTTACTGGAAAGCTGGTTTTTCCAGCGATGCCACATAACTCAGGGACCTGCTCACTAGTTCAGCAACGTTGAACATGGTCAGTAGCTGGACGGGTGACCGCCGGCTCGTTACAGTGTGTTTTCAGACTAATGCTGTGTACGTGACTATGATGATGACTCAACATAACTAATATATAATCAATATTTCAAAAAGGTTTACTTTTGCATAAATTCACTATTGTTTAGATAGTGTTATTATTAAAATATCTCCCAAAGATTTATTCAGACAAACTTACAGATCCAATAAATACCACTAGATTAGAATTCTCATGAACCCTGTGGAATGCACATTTAAAACTTGAAATATCACCTGAACATTCGTTCACATGTAGTTTCTAACTTTGGTGATGTTTTTGTGTGAATTTCAAGTATCAGTTTAATCTGGTACAAAGACTTTAAGCCCCCAGGAACATGGGGTCTGTTGTATTTTATTTTAAATATGTTTTAATGTAAATATAATACTTGTGGTCTTTTACAAAAAACTCATGAAGAGAAACAAAGGTATCTTATTAGTTCTATCTAATTGTTACATAGTCTATGGTTAACTGCATTGTTCCTATCCTGATCACAGCACCAGATATAAAAATGCTCAACCCAGCTGAACCAGAGCCCATATTCATGAAACCTTTTTCATGCTCAAACTCAGGTTCTGTGCTCAAGTCTTCTTTCTTGTTCCGTCAATGAATTAATAAAAAATCACATTTTCTCAGTGATTCTGAAGAAATCAGAGAGACTGAAAGATGAATGTCGTTTTTAATTTTTACATTTGACTTTTTGTATGTGTCACTTGATTTAAGTGAGTAATGCTAAAGTTATATTGAGAACAGAACACAAATGCTTGAGCACGAGAATAGTATCATGATTGCGGGCCCAGGTGTAACAATTGTTGTGTGAATATTAACAGATCGACTAAGAACAGAAGGCCGGTCGCCCATGTTGGGAGGACTTTACATGGCATTGTCCGCCATTGCTGCCAGAGGTATGTACAATAGCATACTATAAGTATCTAAAAGAGGGTAGCACACTTAACATTAGGACATAGTACATTAAATAAAGTGAAAGTTCAATGTTCATTTCTCTGAAGGATACCATTACAGCTTTTGACTCCACAATGATTGAACGATGAATTTTGTAATTAAGGTTGGCCTATTTTATATCTGATAAATGGTTCGATACGTTGTATATATAATGACCTTCAAACTTTAGCATTAAGACAGGCAAATTAATTTTTAATGTACATTATTTAAATCATAAGATACTTTATTTAGTTTCATATTATTTCCCAGAAATTTGAGATTCAAATATTAAAAAAATTTCATTAGATTATTCCTTAAAGATTTTTTTATACAGTTAGGTTTAAAAGAAGTGTGACCTTGATTTTTGACTTTTTGACCTCAACAGGATCAGAAACCGTTATCAATGGAGTGTCTGTCCACCCAAGAATTATACTTGTGTCAGATGGTCAAGCCACAGACTCTGAGGTCATCACTGGGACTGACTCCAAAACTCTAAACCTGTCGATGGATGCCCATGTTAGTGTTACTAATATAGATACTTGTATGTGAAAAATTCACCGAGTGTATGTCTTCATTTAGTATCATACACAACAATGAATTCATTCTGCCAGTGAATATTATACTGATGTTTTAGGGCTATTATCCCTTCATACTTACCATTGAATGGCAGTAGGCCTCAATATAACTACCAAATTTGGATGGCTTTCATATCACCTATGAATGCTTTTGCCTGGTTGTTGACATCAGCGTCATCATGACATCCTCATGGTCACAGCAGATAAACTTTGACCATTTCTCGAAATGATGGTTGTTCATTAAAGATGCCTGCACAACAATTCTTTTTAATTTGAAATAATTATTTAATTTAATAATTTCATTTCATTTTCTACAGTATTCAGGTATTCTGAAAATTTAAAATTTATATAAGACTTGAACTGATTTCAGTTTGCATTTATCTTCAATATGATTGGCAACTGGATAACTCTTGACTGCTTCAAAGAAATTGACATTTCCATTTGGAATTTATTTATATTGACTCAATGAATGCTAAGTCAAAACAGTTCATTGTTTACATAAGTGCTTCTAGTTCCTTCATTGTTTACTTGTGCAGCAGTTTTACATTGTTATGTCATTAGTCACACAAGAGCAACCTAGGTTCAGGAATCAGAAACCACTCATAAAAATCTGTCCCCGCTACACATGCAATGATTTTGAAGAGCAAGAATAATAAATGTGATAGTTTGTTTTGCGTTAACATGGAGACCAGAAACTGTCTTTATTTGTCATGTGATCAATGCTTTTATCATCTGACCTTCAGTGGTGTTCAACATTGCATTAATCACCTTTTTTAGGACTCTATAATAAACCTGGCGGTCAGACTTGGAGCTGACCATCATCCTATCACCTGTGTACCCGTAGGAAACGCAAATGAGGTAAGTACTATTCTTATTGATATTGTTTCTGTTCTGAACCCTGCATTTATTGTAAAATCCAAAATGTGACATGAAAAACAAAATATGCTTTAGATTAATTTTGAAAATGTGTGATATTGTAAAGATACTATTTTAGCACTTTTTTTCAATAAATCAAAAGTGCTAAACTATTAAAATAGCTAAATGTGAAATTTTTGTATTCCTACATGTTACAGATAGATGAATCATATATTGCTTAATCTAGAAACATGGAACTTGATGTCTGTCTCTAACCTGCAGAAATACCAGAGCCTTAAGGATCCCTCTTCCTCTGCACTGTATTTTTTCCTATATACATTAACCTTCCCTTAAGTTTGTTTGGATATAACTATAGCGCAGTTGTTTCGTGACACTTCCGTTGACCAGAAAGCTCAGTTTTTGAAGTCTAGGGTTCGAATCCTAATCTAGCCACACAGGTTTATTTTACTCTCAGAACACAATCATTATTTATTTGTTTGTTTAGTTTATTAGCTCACCTGGCACGAAGTGCCAAGTGAGCTTATGCCGTCGCGCGGCGTCCGTCCGTCGTCCGTCAGTCCTCGTCCGTCAACTTTTCTTTAAACAACTTCTTCTGAAGAACGGACAGGCCTAGAGTCATGATATTTGGCTGAAAGCTTCGTTGGTAGGAGCCCTACAAAGTTTGAGAACGAAAATGACCTTGACCTGTTTTCAAGGTCACAGGGGTCAAATATGTCAAAAACTTCAAACGACTTCTTCTAAAGAACTAAAAGGTATAGAATCTTCATATTTGGCTGATGGCTTCCT